CCCCCTCCCTCTCGATATGCAGATACTCACTTCGTTCGACTCGAGTGGCTCCAGTATTCCGAGTACGTCAAGCTCACTCGAGCGTTTATCCAGCGGCGAGGTGTCGCTCCGAAATTCAATGTTCAGCAGTCAAACAAAATCGCACATTCTTGCTGTCGGATAACCGCCGAAATACATTCCCGTCGCGGGGGACCAGACGACTGCAAGATTAAACAGCCGCGCGATAACAGTTTATCGCGAAGGTAATCATTCGGAGTCTGTTATGAGCGCGACGTGCTCTCGGTTCCATCGCCGGCAAAAGTTCGTGTTACTCGCGTCTATGTGAAGCAGAGCGAAAGTACATCTCTCGATGTATCGTCTCTTACCGACACGCCTGTGCTAGACGCGCTCTTCGCTTCGAGCGAGCGCGGGGGAGTCCGCGGAGAAAGTTGAATGCCGAAGGAAAACTGCGAGGTATCTTTTCGGCAAATGAGAGAAATCGAATACGTACGCGCGTTGCGCTCGAAATGCGTCCGCGACGGGACGGCTGTTGGCTTACTGATTACTCCGATCTGCTCAATTTGACCGAGGTATGAGAAGAGCCACGTGCCGGGTCGAGGATTCTGCAGCGTTGCCAGTCGGTGTGTGTTGCTGTCTTCAGCCATTGAGAGGTCGTTCAGGTTCCTCTTGACAGTACGGCAACGTTGACAGTGTCGCGCGGCATGGCGCGGCCCGGTGCCTAAATCGAGAAGTGGTTTACGGGCGGGAGCCGAACGATCGTAGAAAAGCGGAAGAACGGGGTGACGGCCGTCTACCTACGAGCGCGCGTAGACACTTACGCGTTTTATTTATAGAGCCTCCTCGAGACCAGCCGGCATCGCGGGAAACCGCGTCTCTTCCCCCTGAGTTTGGCGCTGCCGATCCACCCGGGCAGTTTGAACTTGCGCGGATCGCGTTCGGGAAGAACTCCGGAAGTTCGAAACTGCGATGACTCGCATCTCGGAGGAAGCCCAATTATCCGTTACTTCATTACGTCCTTTCATTTCGAATAATTACATTTATTTTGTAATACAAAAATATCGTCATATTCTTTTCCGCGAGGGTAACTTGAGAGAACGCCCAAGTCGATAGAGGCCATTCTCAAATCACGACCTGTTACTCAATTGGGCGCGAATGATTTCGAGTGTTCAATCAGTCCTGGTCATTTCTTGGTCGGCACCACCAAACGTTAAACGGCATCCCTTATCCCGACCTGACGAGCGAGAACGACAATAGGTTCGTAAGATGGCAGCGTATCGAGCAATCGCAACAGCATTTTTGGCATAGATGGAGAGCGAGGAGTACCTCCATTCTCTGCGAGAGCGGCATGAGTGGAAAATTAACGAGAGCCAACAGGTACAAGCTGATACCGACCAACTCGTGCTTGTCAAGCAACCGGGTCTTCCTGGAGCGCGCACGACGGCTTCATCCCGGGAGGATGATGGCATAGTATACACGGCCACCCTTAAAACCGCTAAGGGCTCGATAGTTAGACCGTTGAGCAAATTAGATATTTTATTCATAGATTCATAAGTTTAAATAAACAGCGCTGTTTAGTCAGTACAATTTAAGTGTCCCGTGTGAATCCCGAGTTATTGTTTACATTAAAGGTTGCTCGCGCCGATTTCAGTTAGTCGAGTATGCGATGGCGCGAGATCTGACGTTGTACTATTAATTCCCGGTTAAATCGAATTCCCCGCGTACGTAATCCGCGGGGCATGTGCGTAAACCGCTGCGCTATCGTCGCGGCTCGATTCGGCTGCGCTCGGTCGTCTCCGATGGGAACGACAGGGAGAGCGAGTGAAGAAACCAGAAATAGGGGCGTAGCGACAGCACGACTTCTTCTATAAGCGTTGGAAATATCTATATATATATATGTATTAGTATCAAATAAGAAGGACTGAATCTTCTACCCATCGTCCCACCCGTTCCGTGAAAACGACGGGGGACAATACGCAATGGATATAGATGATTGTTTACATGTCATTGTAATCTTTACATTAATGCTTCATAATGTGTCTTTTAGTCCCTTTTAGATTCGCCTTCTTAAACATCGCTCAACATTAAAACAACCAAAGCGGTAAAAATTACCGACTTGTAATTTTTCGTACGAAAGTTACTCCATTTTTCTTTTTTTTTTTTCCTAACGGTGCATTCTTCGAGATTTTCCGTAGCATTTCTGTGACAATGTGTAAACGAACGAAAACGATTTTTTTTCTTTACATTCTTTTTTTCATTTCATTTAAACCGCTCCGGTGGAAAGGTGGTATGTCAAATTATCGGTGGTTCAAATATTAACGGCGTCCGACGGTAATTTCGGCGCGATTATTCAAAACGAATCTGTTTCTTCTTTCCGCGGAATACCTTTCGCGCGTTTCACTCCTCCGTCTGAAAGAGAAAAAAGTGCCGCGTCTTTATAATATTACTAATCCCGACGACTTTAATCCCGTCCGTGTCGATGATCTACAGCGTCTCGGAGCGCGGCCGTCCCCGTCCGGTTCCATTACGCCGTTCGTTGTTGCGTCCAATGACTTGTGAGGATTTATAGACGCACTGTCCCCGCCAGAGTGAATGGGCTTTATCATATCATAGAGCCCTGTGAAATTCCTTACCGGCCGGCCGACAATGATGGCCAATCAACAAGCCATTCTGATCGCCACGCGCGCGGATTACAAAAGGAATCTTCGGAACGAGTCGGTCGGGGTGAGTTGTTCCCTTCTCGGCAACAACCGTCTTTTCTCCAGTCACTCTCGCGTTTCGCCGCTACGAAGCGGCGTATTTCCACACGGCGTGAGATGCCTGCATCAAGTGGTCTCCTCCCCGCGATCGATCGCCGGTAGATCTTATCCCCCGAAGTCTCAGACGGTTTCCCTTTGCGGTAGCCTCCCCCCGGAAACCGCAGCGCGGACGAGTAATCCGAAACCGTTGAACTACATTTTCCGCGGGTTAATCACCGCCGATGCGACGCCGGCGGCAACGCGCGCGTGTCGCGGACTTTATTTCCAGACTGTCGCGTTGACGAAGATCACAGATCTTTTCTCCCCGGTCTATTTCCGGATATAATGAAAAATACAGTCGGCTACGCGGTTCCTATTTTCATCACGCGCTCGTGGGAGAGGAGGGCAACCCTCTCTCTTCGTGGAAATTACCGGCCGACGTGGGAATCGACCGGGGGTTGCCTCGCGATTTTTCTCAGAATCGCGCCGCAAATTACAAAGTATCGGCCGCTTTATGCTCTTGAAACGTGCGACTTAATAGGAGAGATCTAAGTCGGGCCGCTTCTATTTCTAGCCAGGTTGACCTTGTACCGCGGTGTATTAATAGATAGTAAAATCCGCCGTGCACGCGTATTGACTTCGACAGATTTATTACGTCGAGAGTTCGTCGCACCTGCTGCTTTAAATTGACAGGCTTAGAACGAATCTTGATCTATCGAGCTCCTCCGTATATTTCACACAAGGTAGACACTGTATCCTTTTTATCAAATGACGGGCGATTCCTTGAGACTCGAAAATATTTTATATCTCGTCTTGGAAAAATAAATACACTTAACTCACTATTGAAAGTATTATTAAAGAGTACATACAATGAATAAATGACGTACATGCACCGTTAATACAGTCGTTCGAGATTTTCAATACTGTCATCATCTGCTCGTCATCCCGTGACGTCATCGCATGTAATCTCTACCTAGCGAAACTGAGAGTAAACGCTGTGTGTGCATACTGCGTTTTTGCAGTTTTTTGCATCCCGTCTGGCACGTGGTTTCTTCAACACATGAAGGCTTTATTCCTTACGGCTTATCACGCCATTCATGTCTTTAAATCTTGTTCAGTGTTTGACGTGCGAATTTTAATATTATACGGCGTTTTTCTTCTTCTTTGTTTATGTTCGATCTTATTTTCCTTGAATTTAAACGTGTTCACAGATGGATTAAGCTAATTTGTTAGATATTTTCCTCTTTCATCATTTATCTAAGAACCTTTAACAAACCATATCATTGTTAATCTCTTCCGCATGAATTTTGATATTAGCGCCGCGCGAAACGAATTTTAATGGCGAAAAAATACATATGACATATTGACTCCATTCGAATATTGAATATTTGAATTGCAGCCACGAAATACTGCAGCCGAAGGTTGTATCTTTACCCCTAGCTGGTTGCAGTTCGGAGTGTCGACAGGTCGGCACAGTTGCAGGCTTTGGGGAAAAAGGGAGCAGCCGATGTCGTGACCTGCCGTGGCGAGGTGGAGGGGATCTTCGGCGATGACACGACGCCATTAACCGTACGCCCACCGACGCGTGCATGGCACTCTTTGCCAGTTCCAGTGTAATCCCGAGGCGATTCGAGCACTCGAATCTTGGCGACCGTGGCGGTAAACCGTGTCTAGGAAGAAGTGCCGAGTAGGAGCGTTCTTTTCACAGAAATCGTAAGTACGGGTCCGGGGAAGAGTTACTTCCGAAAACAGAAGTCCGCGTCTAGTGGCGTGCCGAATAATTCCACCGCATCGTGTGCCATGGCAATGGAGGAAAATGCTCGAATTGTGTCGCAAATCGGGACGTCGTGAATTGTGACGCTGAAGAACGGGAAGCTACGCGTTTCTTCGAGAGAAAACGTGACGACTCGGTAGTGCCACCTTCGTCATTTCACGCACAGCTGTTGGAATATGCGCGTCCGACCCGAGAGTCCCTCTTCGTGTAACATGAGCCGGTCAGCGTTGTCAACTTTTGGCGCATTCTCACAGCGTTTTCGAGATTGACTCGCGAAAGTGACGGCTATTGAACGTTAACGAGATCGTTCGTAGGTGGCTTTCGCGCGCGGATAGGATTCCAGCTCTTTAAATCCCGCGATTTAAAGGCTTCCGCGCGTGCAGCTTCGTCATGCTGTTTACGTTGGCAATTCTGACACGAGCGTTGACGCCCAGGTTCCGCGACGCCGCTCGATAACGTCATCGCGTTGTTGATTACACGCGCGCGCACTTTACGTCCTCTAAAGTTCGAATTTGGATTTTAGCGCGAACAATGACGATCCTACAGTCCTGTTGGTCCCCTTGCGTCTGGTCGAACAGCGTCAAGACCGGCTGCAAAGCTATAGCGTTTTACACGGTGGTGAGTATTCTCCTTCGATTGATTGATATCTTTTGTCTCCTCGAATCGTAGGTAAGACGATAGTATTCGGGAAAAGTCTTTGATATCATAAAATTCGCTGTGTGAACAATGAGTAATCGATATTTCTTTCAGGCGATCAGTATAGTGTTAATTACATTAATAAGCTACCAAATGGCCGGCGGCGATTCCACGCAAATATACAATCCGTTGTTCGAGGCTGACGTCAGGGGTTGTAAGTACAGCACAGAATTCCTCATTTTGATTTGATCTTAAGAGAGATACGGATCTCATTAAGATGCGATTAATTGAATCTCGAGTCGAAATTTCACTCCTCCATTAAGTCTACTTGGTTGTACATTAAGTCGTTATTAGGTTTCCCATTGTACTCCTTTAATACTTTACAAAAGGGGAAGTTATTTCTATTCCTCCATTAAAAGAATTAATGTGGACTTAAGTAGACTTAACGTAATATAATGTGGAACTAAAATTTCGACTCCGTCTCGCAGTCGCTAAAATCTTCGCACACTCGCGCAGTTCTCGAAACGAACGTTTCGTGCGAAAATTTTCCACTCGTCGGTTGTAAAATATCATCGTAGTGTTTATCCCGAGAAATGAGATAAATACAATTTACGATGCTTTCAGTTGTCGCGTGAAAATATCAAAGTGTGGAAACGTCTGTGATTTTCAGCCATGCAAGTCGTCGGTGGCTTCTTCATCGTCTACTTGCTGCTGTTGATTATAACCGCCTTGTTTGTGGTGCACGGAGTGAAGGAAGGAGTGCGCGGCTGGTTGCTGCCATGGCTCATCTTGTGGTTCATCGTTTGCATGTTCCAGTTCATCTTTGGCCTGTGGCTTTTGGGCGGTTATTACATCTACGTGAGTCCTTCCTTTCCGCTACGGCGCTGATCTCTTTACCGTCCGACATGCTATCGTACGAATCAAATCGCCGGTTTGTGTTTTGCTTTCAGTTGGACTCTGTATTCGCGACATTGTGCAATTGGCTCTGGATGTCTTACAATGTAAGCGCATACACCGATCACACACTTCAGCGTTATCTCAAGTATTTCTCGTTTTTATATCTCTATCGTGTTTTCTTTTATTGCAGATATACTGTTGGCTGGTTGTTTTGTCGATGTACAGAATATTCGCAAAGTTGCAATCTCCCAACATAGAACTCTTGTGGCCTTGAAGGGGAGCAGCAGCATACGCGAGCAGCGATACGTGCACGCGAATGATACACACGAGAGTACATTAATTGACACCAAAGTAAGGAGAATTTCTGTGTGCACTTACTCGCAAAAATCAACAAAGGTGATTTGATCTTAAGAGAGATACGAATCCCATTAAGATGCGATTAATTGAATCTCGAGTCGAAATTTCACTTCTCCATTAAGTCTACTTGGTTGTACATTAAGTCTTTTATTTTAGGTTTTCTATTGTACTCCTTTGATACTACAAAGAGGGAAGTTATTTCCGTCCCTCCATTAAAAGACTTAATGTGGAATTAAGTAGACTTAATGTATATATAATCGTAAGAAAAAGGCGCGTGTCCGTAAAAGTCGAGGCTAATGGTTTCAGTACCTATGTTAGAAGAGTTTCGACGGATATTTAACTCGGGGAAAAAAAAGATCATATATGAAATTTGCCCATATATGACGACATATAATCATGTACGTCCACAACGAAAAAATATTGTTGTTTACAAATTATATGCAAACACAATCGAAACAAATGCTTTTGGCTATTTGTGCTTCTGGCGGCGCGTGATATCGACATTTAATTAAATGACAAAACAACATTTTTTTTCGTATAGACATATATGATTATATATATTATCACATATGTATGATCAAAACATATGGGCAAAATTCATATATAATTTTATATAATTATATATAATCATATATGATCATTTTTTTCCCGGGAAGTTGACGAACACACTTTCTCGTCGACTCTCGTACTTTCACGCAATCTTCCTTAGATATAGATCTTTGCGAATGTGTACGTACTTTTTGGCGTATGATATGAATAGCTCTATTTACACTCAACATCACACGCACACTTTCGGTAACGCTTTCAAGAGTTTGCAATTTTAGGCCGCGTTGAACGCGTGATTGCATCGATACGAATCTCTCATTCACGTTATACCGTAGTGCCTTTCTACTTAAGTGTCAATAATATATAATTAATGAACCGGATTAACTAATTAACCGGAATTAAAAGGATAAGTTTCTTATATTCCATATAGAAGACTGAGAGAGGCCTTTCAAAACGTCCGTCCAAATCATAGTAGGTTAGAAGCTATTTGGGACCTTAGAATCTCCTTTAACGGGCAGATAAAAATAACGGCAATTAATCATTACGTTAGTTGACAATTTGTGTCTCTTTATACGGTCATGATTGTTCACATGATTTTATAGATATTATACAATTTTTGTACAAGCTATTTTATCTGAAATATTAGTCAAATAATGTATAGAGAGAGAGAAACAATAATGTCTTCTATTTATATCATATATAAGCGAGGTATACTAGAATAAAGAAATTTTACGTTATTTTCTTGTATCTTTATCATCAGTAAAATTGTAAATTTCTCAATGTAATATCTTCCTTTCCGTATCTCCTCTTCCATAAACTGTTCTATTTCCTTAATATGTATACATATATATAACAATAATTACATAATCATTTTTAATTACTAATATACGTTTACAAATATATGTTGCAAATTTGTCGATAATTTATGAAAAACTAATTGCTTTCGCGATTTTAATGGTTACGTGTCACTTACGTTGTATAACAGATGGCAGGACGATTCACTTCATCACTCAGACGAAGAAGAGATTTACCCACGGATGATACATTATATTATATTATACATGAGATAAGAAATTCTTATAAATATTGTAGGGAAAAAATGCCGCGGCCTTCCCCAATTTGTGTTTACATATAACATAATATTATTAACATATCTACATGTGCTACTTCAGAATCACTTATAATGAATTAATATTTTTTAGTATCGTACGAGAAAAGAATCACATATATACGTACTGAAAATTCATTCGTATAAAAACGATTAGAAATAAACGATGAAAAAACACAGGACATTGTACATACGCAATATTGCATACGATAATATTAATTAAAGTTATTAATTCTGTTTAACACACGAATTCAAACGACTACGAGATTTAAGACATATCGCGCGGTGTGCATGGGACACGTCCACGCGCATGACCAAGAGACTTCGACGCGCGCATGAGCGTTGACGTGCGCGCGCTCAAACTCGTATGACACAATTCCGCACCTCTGAATGTTTGATTCGTTGGGAATTGTTACGTTCCGTCGCGGGATTAATTTACGAGCGAGACCTGAGAAAAATCGCGAAAGGCAGGATCCTCGCCGGCACGGCGATGTCTTTGCGAGAAATCAGACGCTTTCTAAGCGACCCGAGCCCCGTTCCTGTTTCAGTGATTAATGACGACGCGAGAAATCCTCCCTCGTCGGACCACCGGGTTTGCGCGAGCCTGCCTGTCGAAGATGATATTAATGGATTCGTCCTAGTGAAACGTAGTTTCGTATCTTGCATCCAATTAGCGACGCCGCTTGTCGTGAGTCTGTACAAGGAGAAGGAGGAAGAGAAAGAGAGAGGGTGTGCGCGAGCGAGCGCGAGAGCTTGACAAATTCTCGCGAAATAACGGCGCATGTCCGCGGATTAACGGCGCGCGTGTCCATATCGTCGCCTTTGGCGGCGCTCGAAACATAGTTAAGCTGATATTTCGCGGAGATAGCCGTTACCGTTTGTCTTCGCTTCGGATGCGCGGCCGTGCGGGATCCGTTTTGTCTACTTTCGCGGCCGCGTACCGCGAGAGGAAGAGCGATCGTATCTATTTTACTTATCCACATTTCGACTTTAATTGGCTGAGACTGCTCTGCATATTCAAATTACAACGTGTGCCGAAAAATCTTTCAGCTCCAATAATACTTTCATTCCAAGCGCTCATTACACCGCACATTCAAGTGTGCTATTGTTATACAAATATACAAAAGTGATATATTTGACCGAGATTATTTTTACATGCTTTTCGTCGATTTAGCTTACATAATTTAAAACGTTTAATTGTGTTAAATGAACACGTCCAATCGTGTTAAATGACGTGGCTTAAAACGGATAAAAGATATGTGTAAGAAATGTGTAAGAAGAGCTTCAGCTGAAGGATTTGCAATGTGGAAAAAAAGAGAGAGAGAGAGAGAAAGGCAAATATATGTATATATATATTTGAAACTGTATTTGTGTGCATTCTAACGTATTTTCGTGAACTTGGAATTATTTTTGATTTTTCCCGCTTCACACACGGTATGCAAGAGCGTTGAATTATCAGGGACGACGAGGTTCATGACTATTGCATCGCCAAGTAGCGTTTTCTGTGGCCGCGACCGCTTTTCAGCGCCGATAGCTCTACGTCGCGCGCGCGCACACACACGCGTATTAAATTGTAGGCGGCGTAGAAGTACTGATAAGACTGATACGGTGCATAACGCGTCCATAAATGGCGTAGAAAAGTATGAATGGGACATTCTTCTCGCACCGATAACGCCAGAGAGAAACGCGGCCGTACAGGTCCGTTCAAAGCGCACGGCCCGCAAGCAGACCGCCGATGCGTATTTTCCGGTTTGGAACTTCGGATGCGTAGCGTCCGCGTATCTCGGTCGTGCGTGAATAGAAGAGAAGGAACGTGCTTCTCGGGCTGCGTCTCGTCTGAAATAAGATTCGCGACGGCGATAAGGGCGGTCGAGGGCCTCGGGAGATTCGTCCGCGATAGAAGTCGGCAGACCGAGAAAGTGACAGCCGGCGGAGCATCGAGCGGAGAGCGACGACAGAGCGACTCCGCCGTCTCGCGCCGAGACGAGCGAGTCAACGGCCCTAAACGTCAAGCGGAAAGGGCGGAAACGCCGGGCGGCGCATAAATAAGCGCCTGGAAACCACAATGCTTTTGCCGCGGAGACATCGCGTGTGGGCAGCGCGGTGCGCGCGCGTCTCGCCGGCCAACCGACCTGAAAATCAATGTGAAACAATTTGGCTGACGACCTCACGGCGTGACACGCCGTAAATCTACGGGACGTCGATGATCCGCGCGAGTATTTCGCGTCTCAGACGCGCCGCGACGGAACGTGACGTCCCGCCACGTCCGATGCAAACTGGAATTCTAAATCACGCACAGTGCGTGGCCGATTTTAATACGAGATGCTTTTTATATAATGTATTCTTGAACTTTTGCCGGCCCCGTTCGATACAAGATGTCACTACGGGAGGATCTTCGCTTTCACGGTAAATTTCTTACCACGTAACACAACTGATTATTATTATAATTAGCATAATAAGCGAAGCGATCGTTACCGTGAACCGGGGAGATTTATTACCGTAATCTTACCGCGCAATATTTGCGAATACTCCGGCTTAACGCGAATTCAATCGGTACGTACCTCTCCGTACTTCCGTGATTAACAGTAATTACGCCCGCGAGTACCGTTTAAGGACACCGCGGACTTTCGACTTTCCCTTCCCTCTGTCTGCCAATTACAATCGCTCGGATGAGTCTTAACGTCGCGTTTCACGAGTCGTTGTCCACCGCTCGTTAAGCCGGTTTCACGATTTACGATTCCGCCGAGCGAAATGCGAATAATCGAGAGAGGGGGAGGAGCGCCTTGGGAGAAAATGAGAGAGGAGGGCGAGTTAAAGGGAGCGGAATCACTCGTAATGGCCGTAAGTCGGATCCGCGGCGAGCATTATGCTTTCATAAAAGATCACGGCGCGCGCATGAAAGTCCCGTCGAGTTTATGCGGCGCCCTGGCTCGTCCCCGTAAAACGGGGATTAATCCCTCCGCCACTCGTGTTAATCCGCGACGAATTCCGCGTGTAACGACTCCTTGTTAGTTCGCGCTTTATCGTTTTCATGAATGAGACGCGATGACTGGCGGCCCCGCAGATAAGTCGACCCCGTTGGATATCGACCTGTCGGACCGGAGGAATGAGCTGTACTGTAATCTCAGATATGTCGTCTTGTGACTCAGTGTGGTTTCTCAAGTGGTTTGTCTGTGTTTGACAGCTATAAAAGTTTCATTGGTTTTCCCTTAAGGTTGGTCCGTAGAGCGCTGGATATTCGACACTGAGGGACCCCTGCTTTCATTACTGAAAAAAAATACTCTCCTGCAACTTTATTTAAACTATCTAAGTGATAAATGTTGAGAAATGATCCCTGAGAAAATAGTTCGACGGGCCAACTGCCTTAAGCATGGAAAATGCCAATCGGAAGCGTATTTCGAGATTAGAATATCTCGTTGATTGTTAATTCGATTCGAGTATTTCCGAAAAATTTCATTACAGTTTTGCGCATAGAAACGCGCGTATCTTACAAACGGTACTATTAACTATACGTTGCGCGGGATCGCAGACGCGCCGGAAGAGTCTAATAAACCGCGGTGAAGAAAACTCTTACTTCCAACGCGGCCGGCGAGAAAGAATGAAGATCCTTGTTTGCTTCTAAATGAATCTTATCGACGCACGGTGCAGGCATGCCGGTCGTGCGCGATTAACACTTGTTCGGAGAAAGACTTTTATTCGCC